TGTCTCCCAATCGTACAAGGAAAGCAACAGCGGAGGTTAGAGATAAGGGGTCCTTTTTTGCAGCAAAGAGTCAGAATAAACATACTGACAGCCAAGCTGACAGTCAGACTAAGGATAACGCTCAAGAAAGCGTGGAAGCTGGGTCTGATCAGGAACTAGGACTACCCGTACTCTCTTCTCCGAATATACCTGTGCAAGTATCAATAAATAAAGAAGAGACTCAACTTACAACAAATCTTATGCAGAAAATGCTGGACGCGGCAGTTAACAAGATGCAATTAACAGTGGAAGCAGCTATTGCCGATTTAAAAGTAAATTTTATAGATCTAGATGGCAGGACTGTACATCTAGAGGGGAAAATCAATGAGTTCACTGTAACCAATGCAATGCTGGGAGACCGGTTGGATGCAATAGAGCAAAGGATACTTCAACATGAATTTAAATTAATAGATGTAGAAGATAGATCCCGGCGTAATAATATTCGGATACGTGGAGTTCCTGAAGAAATTGGAGTTCAAGATCTGGAATCTTATGTGAGAGATTTATTTCTTTCCATCGTGCCAGATACACCATCAGAACTGCTTCTATCTGACCGTTTGCATAGACTTGCTAGACCACAGCATCTGCCTGTATCTATACCAAGAGATGTATTAATAAGATTTCATTATTACCATGTGAAGGATAAGATAATGCGAACTCACAGAAGTAAGGGGAAGCTGACTGGGAAGTATGAAGGTGTTTTTTTATTTACAGATCTCTCGGCAGAAACATTACGACGCAGAAGGGCTTTTAAAGAAATACTAGAGATACTTCGATCTAACAACATTCCCTATAGATGGGGTTACCCAATTAAGTTGGTCATTATGAAAAATGGGAAATCTTTGACATTGCCATCACCGGAAGAAGGTTTAAAGCTTCTACAAGAGTGGGGTATAATGAAGAACCCCCAAGAAGATCTTATAAAAACCAATTAATATAAAGACGATAAGAGAAGATGGAAGATAGAAGACAGAAGTTCCTGCTCTGGTTTTTGACTAAATTGAGAAATTCATGACTTGAAGTTTTGGAAGTGGACCAATAATAAGCTCCTGCGAATCTAGCAAGGGTTTGATACAATTAAGATTATTGATATTACAGATATTATTGGATATTAGTTGATATATATGTATGTGTATGGGTATATATATATGTATGTGTATAGATTATAATTATTATATATATATATATATATATATTTTTTTTTTTTTTAAACTGTTTGGTAAAGCATAATTTATGAACAGAGAGTGTATTTAAGTTTGGTTTTCAGTTATTTTGATATGTTACTGGTACAATATGTTATACGTCATACTAATGACATATTTACATTTTTAAATTACTAGGTAAGATTATAATAAAACTAGGTTAGTGGAATTAAAAGCCGCTAGATAAATTATAATAAGACATGCAAAATGGCTAACTATTTAACTTAGATAACTGGATAAAGGATTAAAAGGTTAAAATATGGTATTAGAAATACTCACTGAAGTTATGTATATGATTTAACTAGCGGTGTGGAATATAGGCTTGCATAAGTGACTGATTATAATGGGACTTTCTTCTATAAACTTGGGTATATATATATAATGTATATATTTTAATTTTTTTTCTGTCTAAAGAAATATGCACTTATTTTAGTTTTGGTTTTTGTTATCTATATCTGTTAAAGATGTAGTACGATACGTTAACGATATACACAGGCATATAAAATATTGAAATACAATAAAAAAAAAAATAGTTTATGGGTATTGGTATATAAGCAGCTAGATAAGTTGCAACCAAGATATGTTAAGAGACAAACTAATAGGCGTCTTATATAAGTTAACAGATAGAAGGTTTAAACTGTATGCAAAGGAAATACCCATTTAAGTAATTGAAATGAACCGATTAATGGTTTTTAATAGAGACGGGTATAAGTGTATATAATGCAAGTTTTTTTTTTGTTTTTTTTTTGTAAAGTAATTTTGTTTAAATGGAAGGGGAATTTAATATTAAAATTCCCCTCCCCCTCCCTCTTTTTTTTTTTTTCTGAAAGAACCCACTATAATACTTGATAATTATTAAGAATTATTAAATTAAGTTTCTTCCAGTTTTGGAATTGACGTAGTAAATTCCTTATTATGATATAAGTTGGCATTTTTTTAGTGCCACTTTGTAAGAAGCGGTATAATTTTGGGGCCTTAGATTGCCACCTTCTGAACCCAATCCGTACACACTTTCCCCCAACTAAGAAGTGCCATAAGAGGCACATATCATTGATCTGTCCATTTTTAATATAGTTGTTGTTTTTTCCCTTTTTTTTTTTTCTCCTCTCTTCTTTTCTCTCTTTTTTCCCCTCATTGTGAATTGGATAAAATGAAATTCTATACTCACAATGTTAGAGGATTAAATATCCCTCAGAAGCGGTACTCACTATGTAAAGAATTTTATAAATCAGAAGCCGATATTATATGCTTACAAGAGACCCATTTTAAACATGGTTCCAATCCTAGAATAGGAGTGAAAAATTATCCCTATCAATTTCATGCTACTTCCCCATCTAAAAATAGAGGAGTCTCAATATTGGTTAACCAGACACTTGCCTTTGATCAGATATCTGTCCAGCAAGATTCTCAGGGTAGATATATTATTCTTATATGTGTACTAAATAACTCCACCTATACGATAGTTAATTCCTATTTCCCGAATAAGAATCAACTGAGCTACTTGTCCAATTTACTAGAGGAAGTAGAGAAGGTACAAACAGGAACTTTGATTATATGTGGAGACTTTAATCATATATTAGATCCTATTGCAGACTCTACAGCTTCTTATACTCATAAAAGGAAAAAAGCTTTACAAAAACAATGTAATGCATTTAACAAAACACTAGCTGCATATGGATTGTATGATATATGGAGAATTTTACACCCAGAGGGTAGGGAATTTACACACCATTCGCAAGTTTATCATACGTATTCCCGAATAGATGGGTATTTTATGCTTGGCACACATATACAACAAATAACCTCCTGTGAGATAGGCACTTCGACACAATCAGATCATAACCCAGTACTACTTACTCTAAAGGATATATATAAATATAAAAACAGAAGTCCATGGAAATTGAATGAACAATTGCTTAATGACACCATATTTGTGGAAAAGATTCGAAATTAACTACAGCACTATTTCAGTATAAATGATAAGGAAGATACGAACCCTGCTACACTATGGCTGGCTCATAAATCTGTTATACGCGGGATATTATTGAGTAGAGCATCCTTTCTCAAAAAAACAAATCATACAACATTGATTACTCTTCTTAAAAAACTACAGGATCTTCATAGAGAAAATCAAGCAAAATCTACTCAAGCTCTTCAACAGCAACTTTTGGAAGTGCGTGAAGAGATTAATGCAATTCATTTTAGGAAAGCTTAATCTAGCAATAAAGAAATTAAAGGCAACATCCTATTCGATGGGAAATAGGGCAACTAAAGTTTTGGCTCAAAGATTGAAGAATAAACAAGCACAAGCAAGAATTCCATTCATAAAGACGCAAGAAGGTCATAAAATTATGCAACCGCTACAGATATGTAACGAATTTGCACATTATTATACGACTCTATATAATTTGAAAGAGCATCATACTCAATTCCAACCTACATATTTATCTATACGTTCATATCTGGCAAATATTGCCCTTCCCCAAATAACACCAGAACATCTAGAAAAATTATGTGTACCTATCACTACAGATGAAGTGATGTGCCTAATTGAAAATATGCCGAAAGGGAAAACACCAGGCCCAGATGGGTATACTAGTGTATACTATGCTATATTTAAAAATGAATTAGTTTCAGCCCTTACTAAATTTTTTAATAGCGCTACTAGATTGGGTTCCTTCCCGACGGAGTTCCTGTCTGCGCATATAGTCACCATTCCTAAATAGTGCAAATGTTCGCGAACCGGCGAACCGCCCGAAACGCCATTGACTTCAATGGGGAGGCGAATTTTAAAACACACAGGGACTCTTTCTGGCCACAATAGGGATGGAAAAGTTGTTTCAAGGGGACTAACACCTGGACTGTGGCATGCCGGAGGGGGATCCATGGCAAAACTCCCATGGAAAATTACACAGTTGATACAGAGTCTGGTTTTAATCCATAAAGGGCAGAAATCACCTAACATTCCTAAATCACAATCAATATGGATTGACACCTGACATATGACATATTGACACCTTGACATATGGATTGACACCTGTCCTCAGAGCCCCTGATGCACACGGACACAGAGCAGAATAGAGACTGGTCCCCCTACATAGGGTCACTTGGCAGATATGGATTGACACCTGTCCTAAGGATCCCTGATACACACTGACACAGAGCAGAATAGGGACTGTTCCCCCTACATCGGGTCACTTGGCAGATATGGATTGACACCTGTCCTAAGGTTCCCTGATACACACTGACACAGAGCAGAATAGGGACTGGTCCCCCTACATCGGGTCACTTGGCAGATATGGATTGACACCTTGTTACAAACTGCTATTTGTAACGGGCCCTTTAAATGGCAAATTGCCCTGCTTCCCTGGGTTGTGGAGAAGCCTATTTGCCAGCCTCCTCCCGCATGACTATGGCCCCTGGGAGATTGTGAAAATGTATGCACTTTTATTTGGTGTGTATGGCCCTTTAAGACTGTCGGTGGGCATATTGGGGCTTATGGACTCTTTATGTGACTGGTGCTGGCCCTTTAAACACCTTTTTTGGGACATCAGGAAGATTGGGACACTGCCCCTTTAAGGCCGTGTCCCCAGACTTGTTGGGGACACGGCC